GGGCTGGGTTTGAACCTGCCACCCTCAGTATACGGGGCTGGCGACCTACTCACTGAGCCACAGGTACCACCCAATATTTGTAAAATTGAACCGAAACAGAAATACAAAACTACCCCCAACATAAAACTGAGTCTAGAGGTGACCTTCTCTCTTTCCCTCGGCAGAGCCCTGGCATTTCCTTTGGCTCCTGGGTCCTGACCAAGCTCAGAAACATTTTCTGTCCCCAGGACCACAGGTCAGGGCTTTGTCCTTCTTGAACACAGGCCTTGCCTGGGCCTGTGTGTGTGATGCTCCGAGGGATCTGGGAGTGGGAGGTGTGGATTCTGGGCCACTGAAATGTGGAGGGGGAGGTGAACCAAAGTCCTGAAGTCCTGTGGGAGGGCAGGGGCCTGCTGGGGGACAGAGGGCCGCTTCCTTGGGAGGGAAGGGAGACTGGTGAGGACAGGGAACCACTCAAGAGCTGGCTCCTGACATGCTGGGGGCTCTGTGCCCCTTTGGATGTTCACCTGTTAAGAGGGAGGTGCTTGGGCTGCAGACCCTTCCTCAGGCAAGCCCAAGGCTATAATGCTGTCAACATGTGGCTGATGTCAGGGCGAACAATGGGAGCCTGAGGGCCAAGAGTCATGCTCTGCCCTTCTCTCCTGTAGGACTCACCTCCCGTAGAAGGCAGGAGGCCAACATCTCTCTCTGGGTCTTCAGGGAGATCAAGAGTTTCTTCCAAGCCTGGGAGGATGATTGCCCTTCCCCTTGCCCTACTCTGTTGTTTTGCATCCACAACCTGAAGCCCTCGGGAGTCCCAGGAGCCCTGTCACCTCCTATCAGGCCAGGCTGCGCCACACCAGGCCCTGGTCCACTTCCTGATGATGCTACCACCTGTCTCCTCTGCCTAGCACATCCACTCCTCCAGGCTCCCTGGTGAGCTCCTACTCACCCTCCAAGGCCCAGCTTTTCCTGATCACTGTAAGTAGATTCAGTTCCCTCTCATCTGGGCTCCCCTCTACGATATCACATATAATTAATGTGTTTGTTTTTCCACACTGGAAATTTCTTGAGGACAGAGGCCAGGCGTCACATTCACCTCTGTATTCACAGACCTGAGGGGATCAGTAGGCACTCACTGAATGTCTGCTGAACAAATTAATTTGCTTCCATTTAACGAGCTCATTAGGGCTCTAGCTTTCCCATAATTAGGAAGCAGGAAGGTTCCTTTTTTCCTGTAACAATCTTCTGTTGGGAGACGATGGCAGAAGCTAAGCTTTGGCAAGCAGAAGGCAATCCAACTAGATTCCCGGGGCACACAGTTGCAATTTAGGGAGATAAAACATGCATGCTCCAGGAAGTGCATTTAAACAAGACTCTGTATGTTAAAAGCTTCACATTAAATATACATCATTATACTGCGTATCACACAGAACTGTAACTTTCCAGCAGTAGGTGGCTGGTGTGAGGCTTGTGGCAATAAAAAAACAGTCCTAAGGAGAGGGATAGAGAGGCTGAGGACCACTGGTGTCCCAAGGGCGCCTGTCAACAGGTCCTACTGTCTAAGACTGTGGGGTCCTGCGGTTCCCTCTAGATAACTTGCCCAATTTGGCCTTTGCTGATAACCAATTCTGGAAAGAATTAGAGACAGACTTGACAGGTTGCTTGACCCTGCAGGGGCATCCATAGGCCGCTGCTCCTAGCCTGCCCTACCTGCTAGGCTTTTGTGTACTGACTCTAGGGCCTGTAAGAGTGAACGTAACCCTGGCCACCTGTCCTTGCTAGGGCCTCGGTCAATGTCATCACCTCTTCTGAGTGTGTCTTAAAGAGTAGCCAGAACTGGCTCGGCGCCTGTGGCTCAACCGGCTAGGGCGCCAGCCACGTACACCTAGGGTGGGCGGGTTCGAATCCCCAGCCTGGACCCGCCAAGCAACAATGACGGCTGCAACCAAAAAATGGCTGGGCGTTGTGGCGGGCGCCTGTGGTCCCAGCTGCCTGGGAGGCAGAGGCAGGAGACTCGCTTGAGCCCAGGAGTTGGAGGTTGCTGTGAGCTGCAATGCCACAGCACTCTACCCAGGGGGACAGCTTGAGGCTCTGTCTCAAAAAAAAAAAAAAAAGAGTAGCCAGAACTAATGTTCAAAATCTTAGAAAGGGAGCCTTGGGGGCTGGGACTGTAGCAGAAGCAGAGCACCTGCCCAGGCTCCACCAGCTGACACAGAAGCCCCTGGGAAGCAGGAAGGATTGCCTCTTGTGCTCCTTCTGGCCACCCACTGAGGCTCTATCACCACCTTGCAGGGGGCGGCGGGGGGGGCGGGGACAGGCCCAGCTTTCCGAAGACTGAAGCCTGCTCACCACTTTCTGAGAAGGGGTGCTCTGCAAGCCTCTCTCCAGGCAATTCTGCCTCTGGGACCTTGGGACTGACAGGCAGGTGGGCCCTTGTCCCTATAAAGCCTCCTTTCTTCCTGGGGCGCCATGTTGTTTGGGGGGCTGCCAAGACGGCCCTTGACTCCTCAAGCGCTCAAGGACAGAACTGCTCAAGTGGTTGGGGCATTATGGCCAATAATGAAGCCAGCCAAGAAGGAAAAGAAAAAAATCCCACAGTCCTATGGCTCTGAGCAAGGAGGCCCTGAGTGGCTGGAGGCTGCGTTCTGAGACAAAACGCTGAGGCAAGATATTGTGTGGCAGGGAGCTTTTTTTCCCTCTCAAAGAAATCCAGCTCATTTTTTTTCCCCTCATTAATTGGCAGCAGATGAAAAAAACAAAACAAAACCCAACGCCAGTAACCTGAATGTGAGTCTTTCTGAAAGGGAAAAGCTGTTTCAATTGTTAGATGTCCAAGAAAACATGAATACACGCTGACAGAGGAAACCGTCACAATTAGAGGAAGAAGAGGGAGAGGTTCATAAAACTGAGAAAAAAAAATTCTTTTTAGCAGCTCCCATCCTGTAAGCCGGCTCCTCTGCTGGCCTCAATCCCTAAGGGGAGTTGCAGGTTGGGCTTCTGGGGAAACTTCAGGAACATGAAGGAAGGGCAGGAGGGAGGGTCCCCGGAATCTCTTAAAGGAGCAAAGGCAAGGCAGCCCTCCTGGCACTCAGGCCACAGGCACAGAGTTGTTTCTGAGATTTGCTCTGGAAGATTGTCCCAGTGGGTACTGTGTGGCTGCAGTACTGTCCAACCCAGCTGTCTCCGAGCCCCAGGGGCCACTCCCCACCCCAACTTGTAACAAGCCTACTTGGGATCTGGCCTCCTTT